TTTATTTCACTGTGCTCTAATTGTTCTACCTATTTATCTCAAACTACTCTAGTTGATTGGCCCGTTTTGTTAGATTCCTTAAGAACAACGCACTGACCCAGTTCAACGACGCGTTTGAGAGCTACGTTATGTATTTGATCGAGGTCGAAAGGCAGGGTGTTAATAATCGGACCACTATTAGGAAACTGGAGAGTATTGTGGCCGCTTATAAGTCACAACAAGAAATTATTGACCACATGGAAAAGGAAGGTCAGTTAAACTCTATAACTGGCCATGATATTGAGCACAGTATAGTTGAATTGTGCAATTTGGAAATATACGGCGAAACTATACAACAAAATATGAAGGTCCAACGTAATAATCACGCGCTTTATAGAGTGGTCAGGGAGGAAGTGCCTGAGAGTTCGATCTTGTCCGAATGTGTCAGGGACAAACAGTAATTTTATCACAATGTCCCCAAAATTTAACTATGTTTTTAGCATACAAAACCAAAATATTAATATTGTAATTATTACAAACTGGGTTCTGGAACCCTTACATATAAGTTTATCATTTATATTATATTTTATAGTTATAGTTAGTCTAATTAATTGACTATGTTTTATGTAGTGTAATATTAATCTATTTATCAATTTTTCTTAATTTAACTGTTTGTTTTATATAACATTAGATTAATCGAATAACTACAATAATCTAAAAACTTATTTTTCAATTTTCATGTTAAGTTTTGTTAAAAAGTTTGATAGATTTTGGTAGATATTTGGTACGGAATATGTAACTTCATAATTAGATCGCGATTTCACTTTAGTCTCCCTCTGGATATCCAACAAATTCTTTATATCCGGACCATTTATTTTTAATCCACATAATCGCACGATGCATTTATCAATATCCGCTGCTGTAATTACCCTGCTGGTTTCAACCTTACTTGAATTAGGCATAACCTTCTTTTCAGCAAGATAATGTTCCAGTAAATGTGCCAAATTGCTATCTACATCATCAGGGGTTTCATTGTTGACCAAATGACGGAGATAATACTCAAACGAATCGTCGATAGGCCGGAGGGCGTTCCCCTCTAAAAACTTGGCGAATAGTGCCATACATTTAGCTATAGTTTTAGTCTCTCGCGACAAATCCGAGATTTTCAGCTCCAGTTCCTTTACATGCAATTTCTGAGCTTCTGAAGCCTCCTGAAGACTAGTAATGTTTCGAGTTTTGGATTCTTCCCTGGTATTTTTAGTTTCCCATGTTGTTTCATAAGTAATATGTAGATGTGATTTGTAATTATGACCACAAACATGGCACAGTTTCGACTTATGTAAGATGTACGTAAGTCCCCATGATTCAGCATACTCATCTAACTGAATATCGGAATCTGGAATAGGTCGAGTAGGTTTCGTATTGTTACAAGGTCCAATTTGCTCGTATTTGGTAAACGCTTGACATTTGAGTAAATTTTTATTGCCTACCACCTTGCCAAAACTATACGGAACGTAGCATGCTGAATGGCATTCGGTTTGGTATTTTAAACGCGACTTTCCATTGTTAGTAATTTTCGTGCAGCACTTCCCCTCACGGCATACCGTTTTTGGTTTAGCCAATGATGTGGTTTTTATTTTAACCGAGGGTATGTATAGCTCATTTTGTATCTGTTCAATAGTGCCTGTGAACTCCCGAAGCCGTTGCTTATGATGTTCACATTGTGTCTGATTATCGGCTATATTCTGCGCGATGTCCGCCAATGGTTTGAGTAATAAAAGTATATTCTGTTTGGCGTTATTGAGGGATAGGGTGTCCATCACTTTGTGAGGGAAAAGGGATGCGATGTGCGCCAGTAGTCTATCACATTCAGCGACGGAACTACAACATTAATTAAATAATTACAGCACTACTTAACTTTAAATTAACAATATCAAATTACAATTTAATAAAAATAACAAACACTAGTATAAAATTAATTTTCTGTATATCTACTCTATGCAGTTAATAAGTAAATTTAAATAATAATACATAATAATATTATTATAAGAGTTTTCCAAAATTGCTAAAAATATTATAATTGTGTAATATAATGTAAATAATAATAATTATATTATATTATTTTCTCCTGAACTGTATTTAAAAATGAATCTTTGATAATAATATGTTAAAAATATTCAAAAAATAAATATCGGGGTCACCGCCGAAGACAAAATTATAAAAATTTTTACTGTTAATAATTTGTAAGATTAGTAATTAAAAAAATTAAGTTTTCAGTTATCTGTTGTAAATTATAATTTCATTTTACATTAAAATTTCTAAAATATGATATAATATATTTTAAATATTATAACATAGCATCTCAAACTGTATTTAATATTTATTCTTTTATAGAGACATGCTAAAATTAAATAAAATACAAATAATGGAAAACATTAAAATTAAATTAACTCTTAAAGTTTGCAAAAATTAACTATTAATTAAATGCAAACTTTGTAATTATTGTCGTTTTAAGGGTAATGTATACTTATTAAAAATAATTACTTTAATCTTGTCAAAAAGATTTAGAAATTATACATACCTAACCCAACTTTCATTATAACTTTGTAGGCTTCCCTCATCAAACTGGACATTATTTGGGGGTACAGTAGCCGCCAGGTATCGAAAAGGTTCGCTATCTACACAATAAACTGTTTGCTTGTTGTAAGCTATGCTAACATTTGGAGGATTTTCAAGTATGTTATCCAACATGTATTTCAATGCCGGTCCCGTCTCTCCCGGTGCATACTGTGTGGCCCTCGCATTCGTAAAGAGGAACAGTATGTTATCGGCCGCAGACTTATAACATTTGGAGGATTTTCAAGTATGTTATCCAACATGTATTTCAATGCCGGTCCCGTCTCTCCCGGTGCATACTGTGTGGCCCTCGCATTCGTAAAGAGGAACAGTATGTTATCGGCCGCAGACTTATTCAAGTGATTAAACAACTGAAACAAACAATATTTGAAAATATCGTCAACTCTGGCGTTATTAGGCTTCAGGAGAACACAAATGGCGTTAATCTCCCGATAATTGCTAATAAAGTCCAAAATATTTTCCATATTTGTGTTATCCTGGTCGAGACCACCCGTATCGGCAATACCCGGGGTATCGATGATATTAAGTATAAGATTTTTTGACGTAATTTTATAACATTTAGGATATTTGGTGGCCGATTGAGTCGAGTCACCCGTGTTTTCATTGTTGTCCTCCTGAGAGCCCAATGTAATTGTTTTGAGTTCATAGGTGTCAGGGTCTGAGATCGTGAACTTTACTGGTATGAGACATACAGGTGTCTGATCCCTGGCCTCAGACAATGATTCGTATGTAATATAATTGACGAATGCGTTAATGAAAGTAGACTTTCCCACACCCGACTCACCTAATAGTAACAGGGTTATCTCCTTTTTCTAAAATATGTTTATAATTTTAATTAATAATTAGTATTTAAATATTATAATAGCATAAAGTTTTATTATTTTACTATCATAATAAAATTATAATATACCGGTGATAAGGTTCTAGGCAATGGTGTAGGTCCCGGGTTTTCCATTGTTGTAGGTTTTATTAATCAACACAATTATGTATTAATTATTTTTAATTAATAATCAAAATTTGTAATATTGTTTGATAGTTTTGTTTTTAAGACAATAAAATATAGTTAATCTTAACACCGTAAATGTAATTGATAACTGTTTCCATAACATTTTAGTATACATAGATTAATGCTTTCTAGTTATTGAAAGCAATACCTGTAATTACACTTTTATAGCTTAAGATTGTGACATTGCTCAATAAAAGTAATAAAACAATTATTTATAAAAATATTTTATTTATTTGAATTAAACCTTAAAATTAAATTATTTTGTTCAATCAAAGGCCTTTATTGATAACTTAAAAATAATAAACCAAGATACTGACAAAAAAAATTAATAAATAATTTAAATTAAAAGAGTTTATGTTTATAAATTATCTCTACACTTTTGTATCAAATATAAAATATTTTTATACAAGGGTTTGACATTAAATTTATCTACAAGACTGTTAAATAAATTTAGATATTAGTACGGAATTAATACTGCTAAATATAAAATAGGATTTACAGAGTATACTAGTATATCCTTATGCCGTATAACTACCTAAAAATCAATGTTCAGATTAATTGCATGACAACCTATGAATATATTTTATTTTATATTTTTATGGCTGATAATTATAAGTATATTGAAATACTTAACTGTTTATTGACTATTTGTTAGACATTGTGAGAAAGTAAAATAAGTATTAAAAATATAAATGTGCTCTTTTGAATTAAGTTAATTTTTTAATTATACAAAATAATAATAAGTTTTCACATATTCGACTATATATTTTGCAATGGTAAGTAAAATAATAATTACTTAAGACATTAACACAATAAATACCTTTTTAATATTACTGTTTTCCAGTGCAATATTTGTTTTATTAAATTTTCTATTCTAGTAATTAATAAATAATAAGATTAAGTAATACAAACAATGTACAGTATAGATATAGTTACAATTAGTTTACAATAAGTTCAAAACAATAAGTTTACCGTACTATAATATTTAAATAATAAATATAATTTTATGAATTTAATTATTAAATATAACAATAATACAATAATAATCAGATAACTAACCTACAAAATTTTACACAAGTTTTACACAAATCTACAGGATGATAAATGTGATACTGAAGCAAAATGTGAAAATTTAAAACCAGAAACTTTAAAACCGAGTGATATTATCGAGGATTTAAAGTCACTTTCATTAGAGGATACGGACGATGAAAATGCAAACCCTATACCAATACCAACGTTAAGGCGGTCATCAAAAAGTGTAGAAAATACTAGTAAAAGGCAAACGTATTACCAAAATGTCAAAAAAGAAATTACCTTGCTACTACTCGGTCGGACAGGTGTGGGAAAGTCTACATTCATCAACGCATTTGTCAATTACATGTCATTCGAGACTATAGAGGAGGCCAGTCGTGAACCCATATGTCTAATACCGGTTAAATTTACAATATCTGACCCTGATACATACGAGTTAAAAACTTGTACACTAGGTACTGACGATAGTAATGAAAACACGCGTAAAAGCACCCAATCGGCTACAAAATACCCTAGATGCTATAAATTTTCAAATGATAATATTATACTCAATATCATCGACACCCCGGGTATTGCCGATACTGATGGAGTTGACAAGGATGCCGTCCACATGAAAAATATTTTAGATTTTATTAGTAATTATCGTGAAATTAACGCCATTTGTGTGCTCTTAAAGCCTAACGAAGCCCGAGTTGACGTGGTTTTCAAGTATTGTTTGTTTGAGTTGTTTAGTCACTTGAATAAATCGGCCGCCGATAACCTACTGTTCCTGTTTACTAACTCTCGGGCTACTAATTACGCACCGGGAGAGTCGGGTCCGGCGCTTAACTCTCTGTTGAAGGATATTAGTGAAAAGCCCCCAAACGTGGACATAAAGTACGGCAAGAGTACGATCTACTGCTTTGATAGCGAGGCCTTTCGGTTCGCAGTGGCGGCCGCACCGCCTAATCGGTTGTCGTTTTCCGACGATTGTAAACGGGATTATGAAAATAGTTGGCGCAGGTATGTCTTAATTGTATATGCCTTGATGTAATACTTTTATGGAATTTACAAAATTGTCAATCAGGATTATATAAAACTATTTATGTACTGGTAATAAATCAGTGTAATTAAACTGACATACTAAAATATGAAACTTTCAAGTTAGTTATATTTATATACAGTAGTTTATTGTGTGTTAAATACTTTATAGATAATAATTTAATTTTTTATCATTTAAAATTTTTATTTATTAACCAAGGGGAGTTGGAGAATGCGAGCGCCTATTTAAACACATTATATCACTGCCACCACATAAAGTGCGGGATACTTTATCACTAAACACGGCCATCCAGAACATTAACCTACTAACCAAACCATTGGCAGATATCGCAAAAAATATTGCCGACAATCAAAATGAATTAGAAATCCATAAAAGTCGTATGGAGGTGTTCAAAGGTGACATCGAGCAATTGAGAAAGCACCTTTATATTCCTACTGTGGATATTGAGACAACACCGTTAGATATGCCTAAAACTGTTTGTGGCGACAAAGAATGTTGTACAATGAGGGAAATTAATGGAGTCACCAAGACTCATTACAAATCAGATTGTCATTCTCCATGTTACTTGGAATACGATGATGGTAATATTATGGGTAATAAAGGGCTACTGGATTGTATTGCGTTCAATAATTACGTTGATATTGGACAACCCGCTTATTATGATCCAGCTGAATTATCACCCGACATGAAGGTTACTGAGGGTTCATTGAATGCACAGGGTAAAATATTGGCAGTACCCTCTCAACGTATAATATCCGAGATGTGTTTTGTTTGTGGCCATTCCTATCAGTCCCACCTACATATCAATTATGAGACTTCCATTAAAAAGACCAAGATTAGAGATAATAAAAAGTACCGGCGCATAAATAATGCCGTGGAAGCAGCTAAGGTGAAACAACAGCATATTTGGGAACTGGAGGCTAAAATAGTGGAACTGGCGGTTGAAACGGAAATCATATCAAAATCTATGGCCCGATTTGCGTGCTTTCTAAAGGAAAATGCCCTTACACCATTTAATGATGCTTTTGGTGATTACGTACGTTATCTGATTAAAAATGAGAAAACAAATGCTTCTCAGACTACCGGTGCCGATAAGGGTGAGAGTGGAAACACGGCTGAGAAATTGGAGTTCCTATTAGATGCCTATAATCGACAGAGACAAGTGTTCAAGGATGTCATAGATGATAATGTTTCAAAACGGGTATCGATTTCGATCGATGAGATTGATAATAGTATCGGGGAGTTGTGTCATCTAAAGTGGAACGGTAACAAAATTGAGGAACTCCTAGAATGTGAACGTAATACTAGAGTCAAGAATCATGAAATTCAAATGGAAGTCAGTCACGAATTGCCAGAGGGAGCCACCTTGTTCAATAAAATTAAGAAATATATTATTGAGCAGAATTAATTATTTTTTCTGCTGAATAAATGTTTCCAAAGGCTTTTAAAAAATAATGTTATTAGACTTTAAGAATATGTTATTTATTTTTACAGTTTATTTTGAAAATAAAATATCATTTTACTAGCATCCTTAAGTATTTTTAATTTTTATTTATTGTTTACTACTGTATTAAATTGAATTGTTTTTTATTTGTTTTATTAGTTTTATGAGTTCAACAATAGCACAATAACACAATTAAATAGATAAATTCAGTACAAAACAATAATATTTTTTTTAATTTATACAATAAAATATTGTAAAAATCATAAAGTAAAACGCCTAGAAACTAATTACAGTTTAATTTTTGATAGTAGCTAACAAAACAGATATGCTTCAAACCAATAAATTTAATATTATCTTATTGCTAAGCAAGTAACATTATAGCAATAAAATTATTTTGTGAACAAAATAGCCATAACTGCATAAAATACAATTAGATAAACATATTATAAAAATTAAATATTGTATTTTATATTAAGTAATTAAAAAAATTATCATTAGTTTTATTTTATGTTAATAATATTATATAAATTATGGTTCAAAAAGAAATAACCCTGCTACTATTGGGTGAGTCTGGTGTGGGGAAGTCTACTTTCATCAATGCGTTGGTTAATTACATGACTTACGAGACTATGGATGAGGCCAGGGATCGGCCCCACTGTCTAATCCCCGTCTCATTCACGGTATCGGATGAGGAGACCTTTGAACTCAAGAGTATTAAGTTGTGTCCACACGAAGACCCCAATGAAAACACTACAGACAGCACCCGATCGGCCACACAAAACCCCCGGTGCTATAAGTTCACGGATGGCAACATAGCCCTGAATATTATCGATACCCCGGGTATTGCCGATACAGAGGGTATTGAACGAGATAATAAGAATATGGAAAATCTGTTGCATTTTATATCCAATTATAAAGAAATTAATGCCATTTGTGTGCTATTAAAGCCTAATAACGCTAGAGTTGACGCTATTTTCAAATATTGTTTGTTACAGTTATTTAGTCACTTGAATAAGTC